TTGGGACTCATCATTTGAATGTACTTGTCTCCTGTAATTGGTGTTTTCCCTAAGTCTTCAATCCTTGACCAATTGATTCAGAAGCCAGATCAAGATCACTAAGTCTCAATAGCTACTTCTTATGCTATAAGTAACGACAAAAGTAGTCTGGAACTGTAAAGAGTGAACAAAGATAAAGATTTTAAATTTCACTGCAAACCACCATGAAAATACTCAACACAATACGATGTATCTCGTGGTTATTAAAAATATTCATTCAAATAACAATCGATTAAAATCTGTAAATAAACAGTTGGATTTAATTTTTTTCAATTTATTGATGTTGGTAAAAATAAACGAGTTTGAAAAAAAATTATCAAATAAGAAGTTGATTAGAGAGTATGACGATGATGATGATGATTGTATTGTACTTTAGGGGGGCGGGGGGGGGGAACAAATAATCGCAGTGTTCTTATAATATACGAACAAAAAGTACATCACGCGGATTCATGCGCAAACATGTGTTAGTGTATACTTATAGCATTAACAGGGAAAATGTGATTGTACTTTATTATATATATGATAATTTCATCTATTTTCCTTGCCTACTTTATGAGATGGATAGAATGAAAGTCATGTGTGAAATTGCCTTATGTGAAATATTGAAAAAACATTTATTTTATACGTATTATATATATATATATATATATATATATATATATATATATATATATATATATATATATATATATATAATGGATATTATTATACACAGAATATCGAGGGTAAAACATCTACTACAATTGTCCTATAAATAATCGATCCCAATACGGTTATGGATGACGAAAGGGTCAGAGGCGAAAATAATTCTCCTTCTTATCAAAATTGAACTCAGTTATCATTGAACTGAGTCTCAGTTCGACTTTAGTATACTAGTTGCTATTCCTTTTCTCAACAACCCCCGATTGATACCCTACTGGTTAGATTTATTACTATCATGTCATTATCATTTGACTATCTGAGATAACCGTAGTTTGGTGGACTAGTATTTATAACTAGGTGATGACTGAAGGTGAAATGAAAATTTCTACCGTAGCCGGATTCGAACCAGTGACCACCGGGTTTTCGGCCTCGTAGCTCAGTTGGTAGAGCATCAGACCGGCAGCCCAATGTCGCTGGTTCGAAATCACCCGTGGTCCAAATTTTCATTTCAGCTTCATTCATCACTGTGTATAAATACTATCATGTCAGATAAGTTCCTTGGATACTGTGTGTGTTTTTAGCAAATGTAAGATAATGCTTCAGGACTAGTTTGCATCTACTCTTGGTTGATGAAGGATATAGAGAGAAGATGTAAAATGCGTCGATCACTTCACTTACTGCGTAAGTTGCATCACTCCTAACAGGATGGTTGTTGGTCAAATCTCAACTGGAATACAGAAGGCTCATTTAGTGTTTACCAACTGAATAGGTATCCGGCTACCTGCTAAAGAACGGCATGCTGCACCGCAACCCATTCTGTCCTGGTGTACAGCTGCGAATCATGGATGTTGGAAGTAGAAGATATGATGAGACTACAGGTTTTCGAACACAGGTATCCATGTGCCTCTGCTTGTTATATGAGCAAAGTCAAGGTCAGATGAAGAGTACAAACCAAGACAGACAGGTAGATCCATGAGGTTGTGAACCTTCGCCGATGGAGGGGACTTGGAGGTATGTTGCACATGTTGAGCCACCGCTTGCCTCGACTTGTAATTCTAGGAGGTCGGATTAGGTTGGATGAAGACTTAGAGGGCTCAGAGCAAGAGATGGTACCATTGCATGAAGTCTCTGACTGTTAATCTGAACCATGTGGAGAGGTGTAGACTGTTTGGTTGGGGTCCTCGAGATGCTAGTAGTCTATAGTTGGGGAGACCCTCTGTGACATAGCTCAGTATCAGTCACAATGCCACAGGTATGTTTGCTCTTTAACACCTTCTGAGACTTGACTTTTTTGCCCCCCCCCTTTTTTGTCCCCTTATTTTATTCTTTGCGTGCCACTGTGAAGTATGGCAGCCGGGATGAATGCACTTGTGTGCGAGGTTCTACGTTGATTTTGTGTCTGTCTGTCTTGGATAGTGCTACGTTTGAAGACAACTATTATCGTATGTGTATGCTAAATAATTTGTACTGTGATAAGGGATCAGAAGATAAAGTCACATAATAAATTCGACAAAGATTTTGAAGTAGGGTGTAAGATATTATTTTGTAACGACTACCGTTTCAGTACCTTCCTACTTAAGGGAAAAGTGACAGGAATAATTTCACACCTGAATCATGTGTTTTCCCTATCCTATGGTTTTTAATCTCTCGCAGATACACACGTGTTTGGACTATCCACTACTCCGAAAAAGACTGACTGACTTAAACAAGTGTCTAGCAAACCTCGTTCACTCGTTATTTATTCAATTTCGCTCCGACATCGTTCAAGAATTTAGCTTAATATTGTGAGAATTAGAAATCATCAATCTACGACACGTTGCTAACTTGCCTTGGATTATATTCAACCTTTCTTTAAAATATTTCGATTTGTTGTCTACTTTGACACTGCATTAGTTGAAAAGTTGAAGGAGGCCGTATTAAATCATAAAATTTTCAACTGGTTGCCGTCTCAATCTCATATAGAGGAGTGTATGTTTCTTAGTTGTATAGTTCCTCGGTTATGGATGAAAAATCCAATCTCAGTACTGCAGATGTCTTCACTTTGCTTTTTTTTTTCTAAATATTAGAAGATTCTTTTCTTTTCGCTACCGAATATCTGGATTTTCTCTATGTGCCGTTGAGAAGTGCGACAATTTGAGTTGATGCATCCATGTTTAATGTTCTACATTTATATTATGTCTGCATAATAAGTTATGAACTTACCATGTTTGTTACAGTCTCCATACTGTTTATTTGATGGATATTGACTTTGAACTATAAGCTACGGTTATGAAACGATTACAGGCTTTTGATAACAGATGTCTTCGTAGCACTGCTCTGGCGTGATAGAATTTCAAGGTTGGACTTAGAGTGCTAGACAAATAAGGTAAGTCAGTCAATGAAGTTGTGATCTTTTACTGACTGAAGATGGTTTAGAAATGTGTTGTGTACACCAATCCACCATTTACCTCGACGTGAATTTGTTACTTGAAGTCGGGTTGGATTAAGAGAAGGCTAAAGGTTATCAAACCAAGACATGGCATCAATTCATAAAGTCTTTTACTGTTGATTTGGGCCGTCTACGGAGTTAGAGACTACCTGACTGATAAGTGTCAACAAACGTGAAACCAAGACTTCCTGTGGATAACTTTTGACATGTAGCACTGAAAAATACAGACAGACAAAATCAGCGTAGAACCTTACACACAAGTGCATCTGTTCAAGTTGTCACACTTCACAGTAGTACACAAAGAACAGATGGATAGAAAAAGAGTGATATTAAAAAAAGGTAGAGTGGTTTGAGAGAATAAATCATCTGAGGATAAATGTTAGTGCGAATATTCAAGCTTTTGAATATGTCAAGGAGTGAATACATCTGAGCTATTGTCTCCAAAAGTCCTCAAACACTGGTTCGCATCATCTCAGGGATACTAACCAAGCAGTCTACATCGCTCCACACGACTCAGATCAACTGTCACAGACTTCTTCGACTAGTACCAGGTCTTGGCCTGGCCACCCTGAACCTTTTTCTAACCTTGTCCTTTTAGCATGATACGTCGAGGTACGTGGTGGCTCGGTATGCGCAGCACATGTTCAAGCCATCTCAGTTGACTAAGGTTCACAACCTGATCATTCTACTTGTCTGTCTTGCCAAGGACCCTTCAACATTGCTCACACGGTGATTCAGTCATGAGCGAGCAATGATAGGAAGATACCTGTGGTCAAAACCCTGTAACCGCTTCATGTCTTTTACTTTCAATTGTAATGCCCCACAGCCGTATAACTGGACATAATTAACTGCATTGTAGCTTACTCATCCTTTAATAGGTAGTGGGGAGTCTCAGCAGTCGGCGCCAGATATGACGCAAGTCTACAAATGCCGGACGGGCCTTCTGTTTCTGAGGTGAGATTTTGTCAGAAACCAGCTCGTTTGCGCTAATGCAACTTTCGAAGTAGGTAATGTCATGTCGCTTCACTTTCCAAATTGCAAGACTTGATCGTTAGATTTCAATGAGTCCGAAAGAAGTAAAGTGGGACATTAGCCACTCATTTGTGATACATGTTTTTTCTGTATAGTTCTATCAGACAGCTTCGATATTTTTAATAATATTTCTAATGTGTTATTGTGATTTTTGCGAAGGGCATCTTGCTTTTGTGCTGAGCTGACTGTGTTACTGTAACATTTCTACTTATTTCGGTCCGTCATTTATGAGAACTCTTGTGAAGCCTGTGATACCTACTGTTCATTGATATCCTATTTTCCTGTCATATGTTACGGATGTTTTGCGGTATCAGTATGCTACTAATCGTAAGTGGAATCTGACATACACTACCATCACGTTTTGAGTTCTTCTCTGAAAGTCTCTTAGTAAACTCAAGTGATAAACTAGTTGAGTTAAACCGTTTACTTCCAATAGTCTATCATCTGTCTTGCAGAATGTGGGACTGTTACTCATTAGTTTCGGTGAGTTGACTTTCAACCAATGAGCCACAAGTTTGAACACCGCTTCACTCACTATGGTTTGGACAGTCACATAGTATAATTAGCCCTCACGCAACAAGTGTGGCTCATCGCATGCCTACGGCTTGAATGCCCACAAGGTTGCTCAGAGCATTTCTCTTTATATTCGCTTCGTAAAATTCGTTTAACATTACCACCAGATCACTTTCAAAATAGTGCAATTAAGCAGACGATATGTGAAGGTATTCAAATTAGAACACTGTCTTTGTGTAGCAATTCTTCATATTTGTTAGAAAATAAACTTACTAGTTTTGCTTATCCATAAATCTTATACGTATCTTTTCTCAATTTCTTCCTTTATTATCTGTGATAACTGTAGGTGCCTAATTGGAATCCATTAGATAATCATAATATAACTGAAATTCAGTCATCTGAATATAGATCGAAACACGCAATGAATAATCCTTCTTTCCCGTCTACTATTAATACTACTACTGCTACTGGTGGTGCACATTGTAACTCTGATAATGATGATGATGATGATGATGATGATGATTTATTCTCTGCATCAGGTTTACTATCATTGTCTAATCAAGAATCGTGTGATTTAGAAGGAGAAGAAGGAACGGTCGATAGTAGTAATAATGAATTCATACCACCTTCTCACGATACGACAAGTGGTAATCCTGCTTCGATTACAACTGAAACTGCTTCTGCTGCTGCTGCTGCTGCTAATACTCCGATGCTACACAATTTATGCATTGATAATTGTCGGGACAGTAAAATGAGCATCATAATGATGATGAGGACGATGGCGAGAACAAGGCCAGTTCACATTCATCGTTGTGTAATAAATATCCTGTTGATGGGAAACAACAATCTTTGTAGTTCGACAGATATATACGGTGAACACTTTTCATTTGAACCCTATTTCGTTAGAATTTATTTTCTCAACCAAGAAACAAACAAACAAGTATGGTGTGTTTTATGAGCAGCCGGTAAAGGAAAAGCATTCAAAAATAATAAATCAGATTTACTTATTTCATGTTTCTTAATTTTATCCTAGTTAAATATTCTATTCATACTACAACAACTACTACTATTACTACTAATGTTATCTTCATTATCATGATTATTCCTATTTGATATTGTTTAGGCGTCCAACTGGCGTATAGAGATCGTGTTTAATAATTTAATCAATTAATTTCCTCTTATCTCCACAGGTTTTTGTCATCGATATTGTTATCTATTACATTATCATAGTTTGTCTCAAATTGTGTAAGAGACGACCAACCAAGCTACAAGAGAAGCTTTCAAAGGTTATTTTTCTCCTTGTTTTTGTAGTCGGCCTGTTTTTCTCTCCATAATTATTTTCCATCAATCTCTGTGTTTTTAGCATTGTTGATTTTTGTTTTACTCTCTTGCTGCTGCTGCTGTTGCTAATACTACCATTACCATTGGCGCTACTACGAACACAGCCTCTGCTGCTAGTATCTTTACCCATCGTCAATGTTTCTCTCTAGATTGTTATTATTATTACTATCATCATCGTCATCACCATCATTGTTTCACATTGAAATCGACACTCTTCCTACATATGCCTGATACACTACAATACAAGAGAGACTGATTTTGCTATGTCGATGTTAGATGTGTGTGTGTGTGTGTATATAGATACCAGTTTCGATGGTTGGTTGTTTTCTTGAGATACGCTTTCAAAGGGGATGAGATTTATCTTACAAGAATATTTCAAACAGTAACACTAGAAAATAAGACAGATTGGCAGTGATAATAGTAACAATTAGTAGTAGTAGTAGTATCATTACTATGCATGTTTCCACCTATTTCATATATGAGTAATGCTTAGTTCTTTTAAAAAACAAACAGTATCTCTCGGTTACACACCTATCCAGAACACATTTGATGTATCTTGTTGTTAGCGCCAAAAAATGTTAGATCATTGTTATTCTTATTTATAATTATTCTTACTATTCTTATTCCATACACACACGCGCACGCACGCATACACACTGTAGAGAGTTGCGTAAACACAAGTTATGCCTACTGACATGAAGAATTTTTTTAGGATAGTATTATTCATGTGCATATGGCTACATTATTATTCCTTCTTATTTTCACTAAGTTTTCTTTTTTTTCAATTGAAATCTAGCCGTTTTCAGTTTGAGGTTCTGATTACCTTCCTCCCCCTCCCCCGGCCAACCCACCCTCCTCAGCTGCTTATTATTTAGTCAATAACCAAGTCTAGTTGTTTTTCCAAGACTTAGAATGTTTTTTTTCGTTTTATTTTACTTACTAGTGAGGATATATATTTGTGCACTTAATGGCTCTTACTAATTTCTCTAGCACTTATAGAGGGGAATTTTAACTCTTTCCCTGTTGGCATAACTGTTGTTTATGATGATGATTATATTGCTTTCGCTTTTTACCCCCGAATATTTCCGCTTCTTTCATATCTTTAGTAGTAAGGATTCATGTATGGGTTTTTATTTATTTATATTTATCATTTAGATCAAAATTTTATCCTGTTGTTCATTTCGTCTCGACTTTATTATATGACGCAATTGCGCGCGCAGACACGCACATATTCTCATATATTTATTTGTATCAAATCCTCATCATTACTCATAAGTAGTAGTCTTTCATTGAATAATTTGTCATCAATATTGTTTATTACTTCGTTTGTATGTTTTATCCCATTGATAGCTTTTTCTTTGCATACTCACTATATCTCTATCTCCGTCTGTGGGCTATTTGTAATGCTTATTCGTCTATCTGCATATGTGTGTGGTCAGTGTTCTCCAATCTGATTGTCTTATACTATACGTTGATATACTTTCTTTTCACTCAGGTAATCAGTTTCATATAACGATTAGTTTTTTAATAGTTCTTCCTTGTTCTATCTAACCCTCTTAATGATTTTTGTTGTTGATTTTCTTGTCACATTTGTTGGCACACTTTCGATTCGTATCATTTATGACTACGACTATTTCTGAGTATTCGTTTATATTTTGGTACTTTGTTCATTGATTAGTATTAAGTGTAGGCATATTGTGTTAGCCAGATTTTCTTCTATTTTGTTTTCCATATGTTAATTGTTGTATGCTTCTTCGTATGCAATTTAATTTTCAATTTATCCTATGATGTAAAAATTGGAGAACAAAAATCATTTGTTGATTTCTCAGCCATAAATTATTTGAATGAATCTAATATAACAACATTGTTATCACTATTCACAAAGAGAGCAGACAATTCAATGTATTGTGGAGAGTATAACCATAAGGACTAAACATGTATACTCTTTTTATTTTGTCCTACTCGAATTTTCACCCTTCAGTCATCATTACCATTGATGTTGTTATTTGTGACTAATCTGTTTGTGTGTGTGTGTGTGTGTATTCGTGAAGGCTTTTTATACTATTTTTACATCCTATTTTGATCATATCATTCATTTATTCATTCATGAGGTATACACACGCGTAGCATAATTTATGCCTTTCAAGTTTTCTCTATTGCAATAAATAACAGCGATGTTGGCGTACTACTCTTCTTCGTCTTTACTAACACCTGATTTTCACTTGTCATTTATCCCATTGAATGTATGTTGACTAATCTAGTTATTGTTTGATTACTTTTTGTGTGTGTGCGCGCCTGTATTTCCATTTCAATTTGTTTTTCAAAAGATTACAACAGTTTTTATCATTTATTCTGCGACCATTACTAAGTATTATTGTATGCAACAGCGAAAAATGTATGTTCCTTTGCATCTTGTGTACGCATTCATCTAGTTCAGTTTGTGGTACCAAGTAGGAGGATTATAAGGATAGATTAAAACGACATAATCTGTTCATCTGATGAGAAAAAAGTTTTTTTCCTTTCGCTCGTTCTTGTTGTTTTTTTTTCCAAAAAAATTATTGTACACTTTATTTCGATTTCTTTCTGTGTACGTAAATAAACACACCTGTGTTTAGTCAGTTGTTTTTTTTGTTTTTGCAAACATTATTATTATTATTATTACAACTAGGCTTCTGATTGTATGTACTTTCGTCCTACTGTTGTTGGTGTTGTTGTCGGTCTCATTGCATATACCTGGTGTTTATGATTTTAATTTATCTTCTGCATACTTTAACTTTCATCATCTGATGAGAACATGTAAAGGTCGGAAGCATATATGAATACATACACACTATCTGTCAAAATAGACAAAAATCGTCTGCTTAAAACATACATAGTTTTTTTTCATCTTATTTCTTATCTTTTCTTGTCTTGGGTCACTATTTTGTTTCCTCTTAGAGATGATTATAAACTATTATTGAATTGCCTGATATCCATACAGACTTGTTCTTATACTATTATCATCAACATCGCCTTTTATATTTATATAACTGCTCTCCTCCTTGCCTATTATTGAATAATCGTTTGTTGTTGTCTATCAAAACAAGAGGTTGACACCACAACAGCAAAGTTAACTATGACTTATGGATACCACTTTATTCAGTACTGAGCAAAACCAAAGCACACTGTTGTTGTTGTTGTTGTATTGATGTTAATTCATGGATTTTTCTCTCACTTCATTAATGTTTTATCATTGCGGTGTAATATGTGTGTCTGTCTGTAGATCTATGTTCGCTATGGTGCAAGTAGTCAAACGCATTGCATAGAGACACACAGATACACATATGTAGACGTGAAAAGATTGCAAACGATAATTACTATTACATAACAGTCTTTGTATTCCTCACATGCACACACATACACACATGGACATACTGATACTACTACTATTATTATTGTTGTTACTTATTGCATAGCATCATTTATATTCTCTAATCAGAAATGAAAAAGTTTATTCTAGATGGTATTACTGATATCAACTCCAACTTATTTTCTTTAATAGGATTTTTTCCATTATTACATTCTGTCATTAGACATTTGAAAACAAAAACAGAATCACCACTGAAAAAAAATAAAAAACAAATGTGTACTTTATTCTTTCTCTACCGTCGTAAATGGTGTTCAGTGTTGTGAAGTGCTTAGTGACGCACTCCACGTCCTATTTGGGACTCACTCAGATATATATGCCTCCACCTCAATAAGTGATATTGTTCCTCCTGAGACTCGAAACCAGTATCTTTATCTTCCAACGTACATCATATCATTCATTCTTCAGGAGGTGGTTCGTAGAACCATTCCCGTCAGTATATCCTCGGGAAGATGTGTTAGATTAGTGACACTCGCCATCTGGTTGTCATCACTTCAGATGATATTTCTCTGCAGTGTGTTACACAGTTGCACGAATTAGAGTAGACATCATACTATGCTTACTGACCTCGTCCTTTACAGTCAGACTGGAACAACTACTGAGATCCATGTTTTCTATTTGATTTCTGCAGAAGAGGCTATATCTCAGCCGATGTTAAAACATGCAAGAAGTGTATCCTTCTCAAAATGTGGGGGTATTGGTATGGGATCAATGAACTACTTCCTGTTGTGTCTCAAGCCTTCAGTACATGCAAATAGATGGAGAGAGCCTCACTGTTTGACTCCAATGATGAGTTGTGGGTCGCAGCCTTCAAATCATCCTTGGAAAGCAAAGGAGAAACTGGTGTTGTGGATCTCAGTTAAGTAGTGCCATGGAATTTCTTTTGAATTCAACTACCTAATGCAGTCAGCTATCTGACACATTCTTGTGGTTACTGGCTTAAAATACCGTTACACGTAGTTGTGAAGTTTAGGTGGATCGAGGCTGTATGAAGATTGACTAGCAAGGTTACTGCACTAGTAGTTCACCATCAACTATTTCAGTTGTGATGTCTCATCTGCATGTTGAGGGCATCTGAGGACTATGTCATATTTGACTGCCGATAGATGAGTCCTATAGGTGCTTATATATATATATATATATTCCCAACATAGTCTGACAATTCAACCTTGAGTGCAATCACTCCTCCAGTTGGTCAATTTTCTCGATAGTGGTTCATTTGATATCGTGAGATGATGAGTTATTGGGAGCCCACGCCGTTTAACCAATTTGGCACTTGGTTTCTGGTTAAGTACAAGGTTGTGCAGTGATTCGGTAATAAAACACCTGCGAATGTGCACGCTGTCCATAAGATTACGGTGAGTAAGTTATGTTGACAGCGTTTAGTTGACAATAGTAAGAATAAAGTAATCTGTGTCAGTAACATGTGGGCAACAGTGGTTGTGGGTAGACTGATGACTCAAAATGGTTGATAAATCCCAGTGAGTGGAGTGGTGTTACGATCACCTGGTTAAATGGATAAACGAACAACCGTGTATGGCGTGGGCGCTTTCAACTCAATACCGTAATCAATGTTCAACTATTCTTCATTCTCATTGCAATCCACTTAAGGTGATCAGGGTGACTTTGTGTGAACGCCCTATCGTTTAGAGAGGTCTTCAATTTGAGCGACAACATCCCAACGTGGATACCTACGTTTCCAGGCTTCTCCTCACACAGACGCGACCGGTTAACGGTAGTAAGTGTAGTCTTATTGACAGTCGCTGAGTACCAATATATATTTGATCGGAACTAACTAATCCACTTGCAGACTGTTTGTTTCACATCATCTCATCAATGTGATATTCAGTGTGTTAACTAAGGATGTATTAATGTACGATTTTTGTTCCTGCAACGATCTTTGAATAACCTTTCAGGTCCAAGGTTAAGCATTAGTTGAAGATAACAGATGATTAGGAAGGCATGATGGTATTTTTTCGAAAACTGAGTTCCCAATGTGTCCGTTTGTACGTAAAATATCACTGTGGACAATGCTACGCGTATCTGTTTCCCCCCTGTTCGATGAAAAGTTTCCCCATCACCTATATTCGTCAGTCTATTAAGGTATGAGTGCGCTAACAAGGTTTCTGATGATAATAGACAGAGTTACATCAAATGATGAGATGCATGTCATTGAAGAAGTTCAACCAGTAGGTTTCAACTCATCAGCCTGATAGCTGCATGCTGTTTATGAGATCTGGATATGGTGAGTCTGACCACGAAATATGCTTATGGAGGGCGTTGTTGTGGAATGTCATTTCGAATACTAAGTGTGGTTTACTGAACCTTCATTTGTGGTCATTGTTTTATAAAGTGAAATTTATTTCAAATGAATTAATTCTTAAACTGATCAACTTATTTTTATTTCTTGATGTTGACTGATTGTTGAACGCTTTTAAAACTTGAACAGAAATGGTAAAATTTTGTTTATACTACTTGATGATTGAAGATGAAATGAAAATTTGAACCGCGGCCGTATTCGAACCAACAACCACCACTGAAATTAAAATCTGCTCAGCAGTCGGATCAGGTGGTAGGACCTAGGTCCGGAAACCCAGTGGTCGCTGGTTTGAATCTGATCGCTTTCCAGATTTTCATTTCACCTTTAATTATTACCTAGTATAAATACTAGTCCGCCAAACTACGGCTATCTCAGTCAAATGATAATGTAGAACTTTATCACTAGAAAATGTCACATTTGTTCTAGAAGTATACGAATCAAAATTGAAATGCGTGCACTAAACAGGTGCACGGTATTCCAATTATAGCAGACAGGCAATGAGTCAGTTGTATTGCGTGACGACTAAAAATACTATTTGACTGTCCAAACGTTGGTCCGTCTAGCGGAGTTGGAACTTGCGACCTACTAGTAAGAAGGCGAGTGCCTATTTCGATGTCGAACAGCCAGCTACATTTCAAAACTGTACGTAGTACAAATCACTGTTATCGCAGATCAACGTCAACCTGAGGAACAGTTGAAGCCAAAAAGTAATGGGTGGTTGTTTCATATCAATTTGAGACTTCTTAACACTTCGCAACATCATGGGAAGCAGAGTTGAAGACTGAGACGCCTCATTATAAGCATGTTATCAGTTATCCATTATTCAAGAATCTAGCTTCGTATATTCTCAAACTCCTGTCGAATTACAAGCGTCATTGACTGTCAACTATCTTCATGTTCAGCTTATTCATTACTACACATAACGACTTCTTATTCAAACTTCGGACAGTCGATTTGATTATCGGATTCTAACCCCGTCGCTGATTACCATGGTGTTACAAGGTCTGATTGGTTATTCGGATTGTATTTGCAGTCTGAGTCTTTCAGATTATCAGTGAACTGTGATGAAAACAACTGCTTCTTTACAAACCTCTACATTATTAGATGGAGTAGACAGTAAACTAATCAGCTTTTCCCAATTACATGAATGAGGAATATTATTTCCAACAAATTATCATAAAGTCCCATAGCTATAATACGGAATTATATCGTATAATACAGGCCATATTTATGACAAATACATTCCAGGCACTCGAATTGTTAGACAATCGATTTCTCCCATTTTTTTATTTATCTATGTTAAAATGACCTGCGTACGTATAAAAAATGTGATTGTGAGACGAAAGAAGAAAGAATAGTGTCATCGGCCAGTAATGAGGGGATTAGCCTTCAGTTTATAGAAGACCAACGATGGAGTAGCATCTCTCAAAGTTACTTTTGATGTCAGACTTTAGGTTTGTGGGGAAAACATTGGCGAACTACGCTTGGTAATATTTTTGGAGCACGCTATACGAGAATGATAGTTATATTAGCGTCTCTATGATACTGTACATCTATTAGGTGTGCCGAGACTGAACTTCATATCTCTTTGATTTCATCTTTCCGAATTAAACTGGAAAATGTCCCCTTATGTGAAGAGGCCCCTGCATTATCGTACTATCTATACTACTTGTTACTAAGGAGCAGCTGAATTGATTTATGCAAGATGAATAGTCAAGATTAGGTAAGGTTTAGTGTACTTCCAGACTGAGCATTGAACAGTCACTATATAATATGCAGAGATGTCTTGATTAAAGCCTGTTGTAGGCCAGTCTAGTAAAACATTTTGATCGGATGTCACATGGAGTATTTCTCTTGATGAGTTGCAAACACAGAAACAGAGGATTCTTCACCATCATCAATACTCATTTGTGCTTTTGGTAAGCAGTTTGCTTTGATAAACTTTTCAGAATATCTATCTTCACTTAGAATATCACAAAAAGTACCTGAAGGTTCTTTGTCTGCACATTCTTAAGAGCAAATGAGTCTTAGTCAAAATGCTAGGAATCTGATTATACTGCGTTTCTATTTGATTAGTACGAAGCTGAGGAATTATGCATGCTCTTAGTCATCTTTGGTATATATATAATTATTATTATTATTATTTGTGATATGCCGAATTGTGACGTACTTAGAAATGTAGTTCATTTTTATAATGTAAATGTGGTGTAGTTCATAGAGTGGTAAAATGCTTCTTTCCTTAGGGTCACTTAGTTTCACCTAAATGACTTTCTTTGTGGCACAATGTATTAGAGATTACCAGTTACTCTATGGTAACGTGCTCATCGTGAAATCTAGAGGTCCTGGGTTCAGCATCCGGTGGAACCGTGGGTGCGTCTGTTGAGGAGTGATGTGATGAAGCACTTCTCCAGTGCTCCCAGTTTTTTTGCGATTCTTCAGCTGATGTCAGTATGTAACGAATACGAACTACAAATCAATACTTCCTTAGAAACTGAAGCACAGGAATCTGTTTGAAGGAAGATTAATTCCATTCAAACTTGCAGGTATTTGTTGCTGTTGTACCTGAACAAATGTGAAACCCTAGGTCAAGTAGGTTTTCACATTGACTGATCTCTATGCATTTGATACAGAACACGATTCACCTCAGCTATCCACCTCACTGGTTTATTTTAGATGGCGTCTAGCAAACGTAAGTAACACATTTCGTTCATCACTGCGGGACTAGACGACTAAATTCGTTACCATAAAGTTACTGAATGAAACGCATTCAGTAATGTACATTTGAATTAATTCATTTCTGAAGTTTATTCTTCTTCCTAGGAAATGTTTCATCATTCAAGCTAAACACCACAGTTAGTGCTATCTTACCTGAAACGT